TCCATTCACAGGTCTACATCTGCCGTATGTTTACATTATACAGATGAAGTTTGAAGCAAATCGGGTAAAAATAAAAGGGTGATATCAAAGCATTTTGAAAGTGACACACTTCCTGCTGCCAGTTGGTGGCGCTATAACTTTGACTCACAATAGTCACATCCATGTGATCGTCCTCTTACAGCGAACACACTGCTGAAGTTTCATCAAGATCAGTTAATGTATGCTGAAGTTATAACACACTTCCTGTTTCACGTTTCTCGCCATGATTTCGTTTCCTCGCCACGGACAAACCGTTCGAGATATCAAAAATCCCCTCGCAAACTTTCATCCTCAATGTCTTGACTTCACGCTGACCGAGTTTCGTCGAATGTGGATCAAAGCTCTAGGAGGAGTATTTCAAATACCATTGCGAGCGTTTTACAAACAAACCTCAATAGCCGACTTCCTGTTGGGCTGGGGTAAAAAGTAAGAGCGCGAGGTATAGATGAAACGATGAGATCAACATGTGTACCGAGTTTCATATTATTACATGCAAGCGTGTTTGAGTTATGGACCGAGTGTTCGGACCCCGTTCCAGGGGGCGCTGACGAGCCCCCCTGCCACGCCCGGGTACCAGCTTCAGCCCGGCTCTGATGGCCGCGGGTTCTGACCCGTGTGCAAAGTTTCAAGAGTTTTCGAGCACGTTAAGGGCCCCAAAAGTGCCCAAAAGGTAGTAAAATAATAATTATTATAATAATAATAGAGAAGAAAAATAATCGCAAGGAAAACAATAGGGCCTTCGCCCTTTCAGGGCTTGGGCCCTAAATATAGCTGCGAGCAGCGATGGCGGGCCCAAGCCGGTGGCACCGCAACCCCGGTTCCTTTAGTTACCTAAAGGCACCCGGGTAGCGGTGCCGAAGGCTTTGGCCCTTTTATGATTAAATGTTAAAACGGCTTGCCATACTCTGTCATTTCGACTAGTCACAATTATGTTACAGATGTCTTAAATGATAATACAAACTATCCAAAATGTAATTACGAATAGACAGAAAGACGTTGTTGATATCTACAATGTTAATTCCGGACAGGCAAACTTAGCTTTTAAATGTTAAAAGGGCTTGCCATACAGGGACGTAGGCTCAGAGAGAGGCTCACCATATTCAAACCAAAATATCTGACTTCCTCTTGGTCCGAGCTAATGACTATGTATTAGAAAGTTGTCCGGCTTGAGGAGTACAATGTATATACCGATTTTTGTAACTGTAGATAAAACTAACAACCCCACTTTTGTCAAAAGGTGGCGCTATTTAGTCCTTGCACATTGCCCGTTTCTGAAACTTTGCACGTCTACTGGCTAATAAATGTGATGTATCTGTTGAGTTTCAAGCAATTTCAATTTCAATTTGACTGTTGAAAAGAAGTGCGCCGATTAGATACTCAGGATCGGTATCGGCTCTGACACTGCCATCTTTGACGAGGCTGATTCAAATTCTATATTGTGCATATACTATTCTGTTAGGCACAAAGGCACAAAAACTTTCTAAAGTACCATAAAGTTTTTGTGTACTGTATTATTAGTGTTCTGAAGCTATTATGTGATATAGAAATTAATATTTAAGTCATTAAATTCAAGAACACAAACTTTTCCCTCTCTGCGCCTGTCAGTCATTCTCCATTCAGCATTCAAACAGCACGTCACATTCGGTTACAGTCAATGATGAAACGATCTTCAATGATTCAATGTTAATCCTATTATACTGGATCTTTAAGATAAAGGTCTAAAGGTCTATATTTTCGAATGAAGAAACTTTTTCTTGCTGGACTTTATTGCTGTAACTTAATCGTGTTACTTTCTACCGGGTGTCGGACGCTGTCGGTTAGATCACAACACTAGAGTCAGAGCACTATAATTGTTCTTCACGCACACAGTAACTGAAATTTAAAACCTTTAAAAGAAAAGGCTCAATAAACTATTGCATAGATAGATAATGTATAATACACTGTTCATAAATATGTATTTCCTTTGTGCTTTGAACTTTTCAATACGGACTCAATGCGCTGTAACTTCATGTGGCTTCAAGCACATCATTCTCCGCTCGGGATGCACATAAGTGCTTTGTGCTGCACCGTATTGGAGCCGTAATATCATAATGCAGTGACGTAATGACAGATTATTAATTGCCTTTCAATTATATGTTGCTTTATAGCAGCCATGGCTATATTTTTTTTTAATGATTTTTGTTATCTTGTTTTTCATGAATGTATTTTTCAAAAATAAGAGCAATGTGTATTATCTATTATTAATATGGTTTATAATAGCATTTTTGTCATAGATTATGACAAAGTAATCATATGATCCACCAGCGAGGAACCAGCAGAACAGAGTGAACATTCTTTCTGTTTAGTTCAATCCTACTTAATAGGAATTTATTTAAAATGCTCGCTCTACTCCACACCATTAATGTCTTGTGCGGACATCCGTATTTTGACTTTCGGTTTTAAGTAAGCGATTTAAAAGCTCCCAAGTCCCAGCGGAGTCACACGTTGATTAACCGGTGGGAATATACACAATAGGCCTACCTGATATTGAACACAAGAGGGCAGTATAGCACTACGTATGACTCAGATTATTATTTTTTTATGAATTTTACAACAATTCTGGCTGTTTTTGAACGTAAACACAATTCTTAAATGAAAAAAAAGGAAAAATTGGGGAAGTTATAATATTTGTATAATTTAATTTAGAAACAAATGATGTATAATTACATTTTTAGAAGATATGAGGCTTTTAGTGTTTACTTTTTTGACATTACTTTAATCTTTTGCCATAGTTGCACATGTCTATTGGCTAATAAATGTGATGTATCTGTTGAGTTTCAAGCAATTTCAAGCAAGCTAAGAGTCCCAAAAGCATCAAAAAATAATGTTAAAGTTTGTTTCGTTGCCACGGCATTTTGAAAGTGACACACTTCCTGCTGCCAGTTGGTGGCGCTATAACTTTGACTCACAATAGTCACATCCATGTGATCGGTCTCTTACAGCGAAAACACTGCTGAAGTTTCATCAAGATCAGTTAATGTATGCTGAAGTTATAACACACATCCTGTTCCATGTTTCTCGCCATAATTTCGTTTCCTCGCCACGGCCAAACCGTTCGAGATATCAAAAATCCCGTGGCACTTTTTCATCCTTAATGTCTTGACTTCACGCTGATCGAGTTTCGTCGAATTTGGTTCAGTGCTCTAGGAGCAATAATTTAAATTACATTGCATGTGTTTTAAACACAACCCTAAATAGCCAACTTCCTGTTGGGCTGGGGTAAAAAGTAAGAGTGTGAAGTATATATGAAACGATGAGATCTATATGTGTACCAAGTTTCATATTATTACATGCAAGTGTGTTTGATTTATGGACCAAATTTTCAGACCAAGTTTATTGACCAAGTTAATCTGATTAATAAACTAATTATATAAAACTATTGTCAATTCACTACAATTAAACTAGTTATATGCCTTTACTTATAAAAAATAAAAATAAAAACTTATTTAAAAAATACCAGGCTTGAGAAATGTATTTTCTTTATGCAGGTCATACACACAGCAGTGAAATGGTTAAGCCCCCTCCCCCTGCACACACACACACACACAGACAGCCAGCCAGCCAGCCAAAGGCTCAGAGTGGCCATATTCAAACAAAAATATCTGAGTTTCTGTGGGTCCTAGCTAATAAGTGTCAATTAGAAAGTTGTCCGGCTCGAGGAGTACAATATACATACCAATTTTTGTAACTCTAGTTAAAACTAACCACCCCACTTTTGTCAAAAGGTGGCGCTACTGAGCCCTCACCACGCCCGTTTCTGCAACTTTGCACATGTCTACTGGCTAATAAATGTGATGTGTCTGTCGAGTTTCATGCAATTTGAAGCATGCTAAGGGTCTCAAAAGCATCCTAAAAGCATCCTAAAAGAAGGGCAAAGTTTGATGCGTCGCCACGGCAACAGTTTCAAAGATATCAAGAATCCATTCACAGGTCTACATCTGCCGTATGTTTACATTATACAGATGAAGTTTGAAGCAAATCGGGTAAAAATAAAAGGGTGATTTCAAAGCATTTTGAAAGTGACACACTTCCTGCTGCCAGTTGGTGGCGCTATAACTTTTACTCACAATAGTCACATCCATGTGATCGTCCTCTTACAGCGAGCACACTGCTGAAGTTTCATCAAGATCAGTTAATGTATGCTGAAGTTATAACACACTTCCTGTTTCACGTTTCTCGCCATGATTTCGTTTCCTCGCCACGGACAAACCGTTCGAGATATCAAAAATCCCCTCGCAAACTTTCATCCTCAATGTCTTGACTTCACGCTGACCGAGTTTCGTCGAATGTGGATCAAAGCTCTAGGAGGAGTATTTCAAATACCATTGCGAGCGTTTTACAAACAAACCTCAATAGCCGACTTCCTGTTGGGCTGGGGTAAAAAGTAAGAGCGCGAGGTATAGATGAAACGATGAGATCAACATGTGTACCGAGTTTCATATTATTACATGCAAGCGTGTTTGAGTTATGGACCGAGTGTTCGGACCCCGTTCCAGGGGGCGCTGACGAGCCCCCCTGCCACGCCCAGGTACCAGCTTCAGCCCGGCTCTGATGGCCGCGGGTTCTGACCCGTGTGCAAAGTTTCAAGAGTTTTCGAGCACGTTAAGGGCCCCAAAAGTGCCCAAAAGGTAGTAAAATAATAATTATTATAATAATAATAGAGAAGAAAAATAATCGCAAGGAAAACAATAGGGCCTTCGCCCTTTCAGGGCTTGGGCCCTAATTATACAATGTTTGCAATATTTACTTCGTTACTACACCTCAAATACAAATAGCCTATGTATACAGTATCCTAAGTAGAGTTGAAGAATAGAATAGAATAGAATAGAATAGAATAGAATAGAATAGAATAGAATAGAATAGAAAGTTGGTCAAGTAGGCTACAATACTGCACTTTATACATAATAACACTTTACACCCACCTATCAGAGGACACTTTGACAAATTTCGCCTGTCTTCGGGGAAACACTCCAGGAGTCTTTGTAAAAGTCTTCCCAAATCCGAGGAGCTTCTGTGCAGGTAAAGAATGTTTCTGTCTGACCATTCAGTCCTTATTTCAAAGAACTCCTCTTCCTCTCCTCTAATGATGAGCTTGCGGATCCCGTTAACCCAACAATCCTTCACGAACATGTTCACCAGGGATGTGCCCTCAAAAATCGCCGATGCCATCTTCAGTGCCTTCACTCCAGCATTCTGTGGTTGTTCTGCTTAACTTCAACAGCATTTAAGTCGCTCAAATTTACTAATGTGCGAGTTTGAGCTAATGTACCGGTTGATAAATAAAGAGTTCGCATTTAAAAAAAGCCTTTAGAGGAACTTGACGGTTTCGATTCGTTTACGTCTTCAAACGTGGCAGACGGATATTCAAGAATAGCGCAAATAAGTAGCCTACTATAGTTAAAATATTCTCCTAAACATTTATGTAGTCCTTCCGTTTGTCTTTTGCGTGGTGGGTGCCAAAACGTCGCGCGTTTTATCCTAAATTACGCTCATCTATCCATCAAAAAGTTTACGCGTTCTCCTAAATGTCTTATGCAACTTAATATAACGGATTGCGACAGTTGCCGTCTACGCATCGGCAATTGAGCCTCTTTAGTCCCAATACCGTTAGATGTTATAAATCACAGAATATCCAGACTCAATCAGCTGAGCAGAGTGAACAGGCGCCGAAAACAGGCCGAGAGTTTGAGAAATAAAAAAGTCAGCGTTTCCTTCTATCGGCAGAAGTTGCGTCTTCACCCCTCCTTCCCTCTCATTCACTTCCACACAAAGCGGTATGCGAGGAATTCACAGAGAGAGAGAGAGAGAGAGAGAGAGAGAGAGAGAGAGAGAGAGAGAGAGAGAGAGAGAGAGAGAGAGAGAGAGAGAGAGAGAGAGAGAGAGAGAGAGAGAGAGATCACTCACAGTAAACGTCAATCTGTGAGCATGTGCTCTATATTTGGGAAGTCTAGACATTTTAAATGCGTGGTCTATTGTCGTTTTATAATCTGTAAAATTATATGAAAATCATTTAAAACAGGCCTATGATACTACACGGTTTTATTATTGTTGTTACGCAGGGAATAAGTTGTACAAGCAACAATAAAGTTTTAGTCAAAAGTCCAAATACATTTTTTAAAATATATTTGTTGAGGCTAAACACCTATATTAGCCTATTTATGTATGTTAAATGAATATGTTTCAATTTCAATAAAGGTAGAAATGTTCAGTAACTTTTTTTAGTCGAGATTTAAAGGAACACTCCGACTTTTTGGGACTTTAGCCTATTCACCTTATACCCCAGAGTTAGATAAGTCCATACTTACCTTTTTCATCTCCATGCGTGCTATAAGTCTGTTTGACGCATCCACCGCTAGCCTTGCTTAGCACAAAGACTAGATGTGAATGGTTGCAGCTTTCATACTAATCCAAATGAGTGACAAAATAACGCAAACGTTTTCCTATTTACATGTTGTGGTTTGTATAGTCACAGACTGTACAAATATCAAGGCCATATGAGACACAGACATCTTTTAACCGTATAAATACTATATTTTCTGAAGGCGAAGCACTGCTACTTGGGCCAATAGTATCCAGCTGCAGACCCCCAGCACACCAGTTTCAGAACCCCAACGTCAGAACCCCAGCGCCAGAACCGGAAGTAAGGGGCGTAGTTAGGTTCTAACCAACACCAGCGCCAGGGCCGTAAGTGAGGGGTGGAGCTTAGGTTCGAAATCTAATAACGCCACCTAATGTAATTTGGAGGGTATTTTACACATGAAACAGCTTTTATTGAACATGAACTATACATATGTTATGATGCTACATTACAGTACAATAAGCATTTTAAAACATTGATTTTGTGTAATATAATTGTATATCAGTAATTGTGTTTCAGTTATCTGTTTCATTGTATTATGAGTTACTTGCTGATCATACTTCCTGATTAAGAAAAAATAATACTTGAAACTTATGGGCATTTTAATGTATAACAGTTTATTCATTTTAGCTAAGCAGTTTATACATATGCTACGTGTAGATTTATGAAGGTAAGACCTTTGTTTGTTTTTTGTTTTTTGTTGTTTTTTTATGAAGGAGTTAACTGATAAAAACAAGACAACCATTGGAGGTTTTCAAAATTATACAAAATTCGATAACTCATTAGACCTCTGTGATATTTTATGTTCTATTTATTTATGTATTGTGTTTACAAAAATCTTTAATTGTTTTGAAATTGAAGATATGTATTTGTATGATGATTTTGATTGTTTAATAAAAACAAACAATTTAAAAAAACGCATGGGTATTTTTTGTGATAAAACAGGGTTGAATTGGTCGTTTTGTATATTTTATTGTTTCGTTTAAAACAATGCCGAAATTTCTCTCTCTTTTTTAGATTTTGACATTATTATTTTACACGGGGAAAAAAATGCATGCTGCACATGTTCTTGTGGAATAAAGTGTATTTTATAAAAAATACCCATGCGTTTTTTTAAATTATTTGTTTTTATTAAACAATCAAAATCATCATACAAATACATATCTTCAATTTCAAAACAATTAAAGATTTTTGTAAACACAATACATAAATAAATAGAACATAAAATATCACAGAGGTCTAATGATGAGTTATCGAATTTTGTATAATTTTGAAAACCTCCAATGCCTGTCTTGTTTTTATCAGTTAACTCCTTAATAAAAAAAATAAATAAATAAATAAAGGTCTTACCTTCATAAATCTACAGGTAGCATATGTATAAACTGCTTAGCTAAAATTATTAAACTGTTATACATTAAAATGCCCATAAGTTTCAAGTATTATTTTTTCTTAATCAGGAAGTATGATCAGCAAGTAACTCATAATACAATGAAACGGATAACTGAAACTATACAATTATATTACACAAAATCAATGTTTTAAAATGCTTATTGTACTGTAATGTAGCATCATAACATACGTATAGTTCATGTTCAATAAAAGCTGTTTCATGTGTAAAATACCCTCCAAATTACATTCGGTGGCATTATTAGATTTCGAACCTAAGCTGGTTGGTTAGAACGTAACCCCGCCCCTTACTTCCGGTTCTGGCGCTGGGGTTCTGGTGTTGGGGTTCTGAAACTGGTGTGCTGCGGGTCTGCAGCTGGATACTATTGTTTATACGCACGTGGTGAGGCGGGGATACGCTATGCAAATTCCGCAGACCCATGGCATTTCTTTGCCATTGGCTCGTTTTTTTAATACTCGAAGAGGATTGGCTCTCTAGGCGAAACCCCCATTCTCCATCATCCGACGTAACGTCTCCGTTCCCTACTCAGGGAACGAGGGTTACATACGTAACCGAGACGATTTCTCTCGTCTCAGGATAAAATCAGAGAGTGTTGCACGACCATTCAATTGTTTAACTGTTTTAACAATGGAAAACTTAACACAAATGGGTGGAGTGTCCCTTTAAGTAAATTTACCTTGCTAGAGAAATCAGGTTACATCTACTGACTGTTATGCTTCAGTAAAACCTTGTTGTTGTTGTTGTTTTTTGTTTTTGTTTGTTTTTTTCAATTTGGTTTAATTCAGTTATAATCAGTTTTCTTAAATACTTTATTTCATTTCAACAAAACAAGTTACTTGAGATGTTACCATGAAGTACAACTGAACAAGTTGAACTGACAAAACAGTGTATAGGCCTAAAGATGCATTGGTCCGAACTAACACATTAGATTAATGCAGCTGTTCAATTAGGAAGATATAGTCATTTAAATTGCCTCATTAAATTTAATTAATTCAAATAATAATAGTAATTTTCGCATAATTATAGGCATTATTATACTTGCGTTCCATTATTCCACTAAATGATCACATGATACACTCAAAAATAATGGCTGTTTTCCTATTAATTAAATAAACACAAACTATATTCAGCAGCCTGCTTGTCTATTGAAATAAATGCCTTTTTGAAAAGACATCTTCATTCTGATGAATCTAATAGTTTCATCTTATTATCTCCTTAAAAGCAATTTGTTGGTAATGTTTAAATTTTCATCTTCTCTAAGCACGGGTCAAGACCAATTGGTTCCTGGCAAGTTTGATAGATAAACAGCCCTTATAAATGCCTAAGCGCAAGTGTGATGAATTATATAGTCAGGGAATTCAAGGAATATTAAACATGCTGCACATAAAAGTGTACAGTCAGGAGAAGTGTTTTCTGGACAGGCAGGACCCAAGCTTATCCGCATTGGAGATGGAATCCATTTTTGGGTATTTGACTCTTTTTTTCTGTTGTTTTTTTTTTTTTTTAAATAGTTTGTAATAATAAAGTCAGCGCTGAAAATCATAAGCAGTATGATAAAAAACATCTCTTCTTAGTATCAGTATAAAAATGTCTATCAAAAACCTATTTGTTTTGAAAACTTTATTAAATATAGTTAACTTGATTTACAGAGATTTAGTAGAAGGGGGACCAAAACATCACAGTTCCTGGGACAATTTATTTTGCAGTTTTGCAATGAAAATGTAGTTTACATTTGTATAAATGCGGTTAGTTTAACTTAAGAGTGATTTAAGTATGCAATATCGTAATTACTTCTAATGCATTGGAAATGTTCTGCCTCTGTTAGGGACTGTGTATAATTTACGATGGACATTTACATTTTATAAATATTATAATTTTGTTTAATAATTTTTATGAGATCTTTTTTCCTTGCCACTATGTAAGTTGAGTCCCAAATTCGCATATCTGTCTTAAATAGTATTCGAAAATAGAATTAGTAGCTGTGTCCCAATGTGAAGGCTGCATCCTCCAAAGGCCGTGTTTGAAGGCCGATTGCGTCACAGCGGCGTGACGAATGCTGTCCCAACTCAAAAGCTGCACCAAGGGGTAATCCATCAGCCAGAAGTTGAAGCCTCGCGACTCACGAGAGCCGCCATTGTAGCAACTTCACCTGCTGTTACCATCCCATTGACTCCCATTCATTTTGGCGTCACTTTGACAGCGAATAACTTTACATCTGAGGCGTCAAAAGACATAATTTGCCCATCATTTATTTCTAAAGAAACACGACAATGTATGTGTGGTAAGCAGGACGGCCGAGGGATGTGAGAGAAAGTCGCGAGACCAGTGTGCTTCACAGTTCCTGCTCATTACCAATCGCACCATCGGCCTCGCGACTTTCTCTCACGTCCCTCGGCCGTCCTGCTCACCACAGTATAAAATGCTCCATTACTTTGTATCTTACGTCACAGCCCCGTACAAGCCGTTTTTGTAAAAATAGGCTAAAGATTGCGCCATAACCACGGTACTTTCTGTTGCACAACATTACAGTTGTAAATCTTCTAGTAATTGTGCCAAGACAAATCTAAATCACCTAATTCCTCAAAAACGTTCTTGAAATATTTTGTCTCGTTGCTTTTATGGACCCATGTCCCCCTGATTGCCTCATAGACAGTAAAAGATTGCCTGTGAGCTTTTCCTCCTGTCTATACGGTAATGTCGCTATTGTGCGACAGAAAGTTGCGTGGTTATGATGCAAACGTTAGCCTATTTTTACAAAAATGGTTTCTACGGGGCCGAAACGTAAGATACAAAGTAATGAAGCCTTTTATACATTGTCATGTTTCTTTAGAAATCAGTAATGGACAAATGGAATATTTGGCCTTTTTTGGTCATTACTCAGATGTAAAGTTATTCGCTGTCAGGCTTCAACTTCCGGCTGATGGATTACCACCTTGGTTACATCGGAGTCGATCTTTCTTCTAATTCCTGTCGTAAGGATTGGCTGTAAGTTAATTTGAATAATTTATCTGTCTAGTGTATATTGCAGGAGTTGAAA